TAGTGGATGGAATTTCAGTGTGTAATAAATGGGTTTTGCTCTGCGCCCAAGGTCTGTCTGGTTTTACCCAAGATTGTGAGCCCCTTGAGGGAGAAGCCCATCTTGTTTCCAGACTCTGGAACCCCTGTCCCTATTGCCAGCAGAGCCCTTCCCCCAGTCCTCTCCCTGGATTGGGGGGCGGGGATGGGGAGGAGGCCATGAGGTGGAAGATTTTCCAGACTCTAATTGTAAAGCCCCTCACTTTGACTTCCCCTGGTGGGAGGAGCAGCCAGGCTTCTATTTTCCTTGGCTTCAGCCCAGGCTCAAGGAAAATATAGGAAGCAAGACAGCTCACCGGTCCCACCGCCCCTTCATGCTTCACATACAATCCTGGTGGGTCCAATGTTGCATCTAGTTCCACTCCATCACCTTCCAGATGACCATCAGGACATCAGTTACTCAAAAGACAAAATGGCATCCAGAGTCCAGAAACTTGGCTTCTAGACCAGGCTAGAACCATGCCACCTTGGACCAGACAACTCCTGTCTCTGAGCCTGTTTCTCCCTGTGCAGAAAGAGTCTTGGACTTGGGATCTGTACTGTCCCTTTCATCTCTCATACTATTTTCCTATAAAGAGGTTCTTAGTACGGTGGTCATCTAGAAGATTCCACAAAAGCCATACCACTCCTCTCCTCCAATCTCTTCAGAAAAGCAAGGGAGTGGGGGAAGTTAAGTATGGCTCTAAAAGTCTCCAAATGCAAAAACTGGGGAAATTTCGGTGTCTACTGAAGCTAAAGCATGTATACCCATGAACCAGCAATCCCATAGGTAGGCATTGCCCCAACAGAAATGTATACTGTGTTCACCAAAGGACATATACAATAATGCTCACAGCGGCAGTCTTCACAATAGCCCCAAACTGGAAACAACCAAGTCCACTATCAATAGAATGAAAAAATCAGCTGGTATAGGCATCTAACAGAATACTACAGAGAAAATGAAAAGAACAAACTTGTTATATGCAACATGAATGATTCTCACAGACAATACTGGGCAAAAGAAACCAGACACAAAGGAGTACATATTCCATGCTTCCATTTATTAAGAGTTCAAAGAGAGGCAAAAGGAATCTATGCTATCAGAAGACAAGATAATAGTTACTTCAAAAAAGGATGAGGAGAAGGGAGTATGAGGGAAGCTTCTGGGCTGACGGTGATATGATTTTTTAAAAATTTTATTTATTTATTTATTTAAATAAATTTATTTAATTATTTAAGAGAGAGAGCACGTACACACAGAGGGAGAGGAGAAGCAGAACTCCACTCCAACATGGAACTGGATCCCAGGACCCAGAAATCATGACCCACGCTGAAGGCAGATGCTTAACGCTTAACCAACTAAGCCACCGATCTGATTCTTGATTAGGTTATACAAGTGTGTTCCGTTTGTGAAAGTTCACTGAGATGTGCACCTATGCTAAATGCATTTGGTGAATATACATTTAAGCCTCAAATTGAGATTTTTCTTCCACTCAATCTTCAGTTTCACCAGCACACACTCTTGTTCGAATGCCTCAAACCCCATAATAGCAGGAAGTCAAGGACTAATGTCGTACTGGACCCTCCTGCCCTGTGCTCAGCATTGTGGGGCATCCACAAATGCTGTCGGGGTTTTTGGTCCAGTCTGGAAGTAGATGAACATAAATGAAACAATTGAGGAAATATCTAGTGGTATAGAGTGAATAGTTTATGATCCTGTGAGAAAACAGCCTGGATTTGAATTCCCAGTCCACCACTTACCAACTGTGTGACCTTGGACAAGTGACTTTACCTCTCTGAGTACAATCTGAAACATGGAGAAGACCATACATCTACTTACTCACAAGGCTGTTGCAAGGATTGCATCAGATAATTTGTGCAACAGCAGGAGGTAGGTGCTCTGTAAATGTTGGACTCTGTTCTCACCTGGCTTGGTGGCAGCTCTGGCTCAGGCTCACTCAGATTTCAGAGGAGAGGGGATGAGTATAAGCTGGGAAGGAAACTGGCCAAGGAAGAGACAACTTGAGCTGAGAAGACATTGATGAAAAGGGGGCTTTAGAAAGATCATCTGGAGCAGTGGTTCTCAACCAGGAACAATTTTGCCTTCCAAGGACCATTTAGCATTGTCTGAGGTCATTTTTGGTTATCATGACTCCACGTGCACTATCATAACTACAAGTACCTACTAGCTAGAGGTCAGGGATGCTGCTAAACGTCCTACAAAGCACAGGGCAGCCCCCACAGCAAAGAACTGTCTGGTACAAAAAGTCAGTGATGCCAAGGTTGAGAATTCTTGATCTAGAGGATAAAAAGGATTTGGTGGCAAAGGAAAGGCATCCTAGGACAGAGAAGGTTGTGTTCTGGAAGACCTGATGTGAACTTAAGGGTGGTGGCATTGGGGAGTGCCCAGAGGTGTCCCTGTTCTGGTCTTCATCCCTCAGGCTACAAATTCCTCATTCATCTCCCTGATTTCAGAACTTGTGGGGGGTCTAGAAGGTTCTTCACAGACCTGGTTTGTTTACTGCTCTCAGGAGAGATTTTGATAAAGCAAAGCAGATTCCTCAGAGATTTACAAGGCCACAAGCATCACATCTGCACTGGAACCACAACTGGAGAAAATCTCTAAGGTCTAAGAGACTAATGGGGAGGGGCTTACCCACTGCTGTGCAATGCACCTGGGAAGACTGGGACTCAACCCCAGGCTTCTATCATTGATGTAGAGCAAGTTGGGGAGGAAGGGATTGCAGATATTGATTAAATAACCTTGAAGGGGAAAACATGACATTTTTTAAAGGTCAGAAGGATAGTTGGCACTGAACTTTGGTGGCCAAGAGAACTATGTGATTCTCTAGGGGCAAGTATAATTCCAGGGCCTAGAACCATGATTCATAGTCATAGGGCTCTAGAAAAGAGGGAAATGACATTGATTAATAAAAAATTTCTTGCCTGAAGCAATTTATCTATTTCAGGCACAGTTCTAAACACTAGGGAACTAGGGACACAGCATGGAACAACAGAGACAAAGCAAACCTTCATGGGGCATATATACAATGGGAGGAGAATGATAAAAGATGTATAGTGTAATGCCAGGCACTTAGTTGAGTGCCTGCTTTAGATTGGGTGTTATTTATAAATATTCTCAGTTTTGCAAGAAACTTTAAGATAGAAATTCCTTCCCCCAATTTAAGATAGAAAAACAGGCTCAAAGAAGGTCAACAACTTCCCCAAACTAGAATGACTAATAAGTTGAAGATTCAAGATTTGAACTCCAGTGGCCAATTCATGATAAAAACACTTAGTAAACTTATAAGGAACATCCCGAAAAAGACTATTTACAAATAAAACAAAATCCTACAGCAATCCTTATGTTTAATGATGAAATAGTAAGTTTCACCCTTTAGATCAGGATAAGATAATGGCTGTCCACTTCAACATTTCAACTCGACATTGCATTAGACGTCCTAGCCAGGACAATGAGACAATAAAAAGAAATAAAAGGCTTAAAGTTTGGGAAGGGGAAAGTCAAAATATTATTAATCACAGATGACATGAAGTTGTACATAGTGAACCCAAAAGAATCTACAAACTACTAGAATAGGTATGTCTAACCAAGTCTTTAAATCCAAGTGTAAAACTCAGTTGAATTATATTTCTTTATACCAGCAACAAAAAATAGAAAATAAGATTATGAAAAGCAATGCAGTAGTAGATGGATAACAACTAAAAGGTCTATGGTTTCTTTGCAAAGTGACAAAATGTTCTAAAATTGATTGTGATGATAATCACACATTTCTGTGAATATATTAACGACCCTTGAAATGTACACTTTTAATGGGTGAATTGTATAGTATGTGAATTATATCTTAATAAAGCCATTCTTAGAGAAAAAAAGATGAAGGTTGGTGTTGCACAGGCTCTCCTTCCCACACTACCCATCGCTAGCACTTAGAAAAATTCCTTATAAGAAGTATAATTTACAGCAGCAGTGAAACTTATCCAATGCCCAGAAACAAATGTAATAAAAAATGGGCAAGACCTCTACACTGAAACTACAAGCCATTACTGAGAGAATTTAAGCACCTAAATAAATGGAGTGATATACCATGTTCAGGAATAGGAAGACTCATATTTTAATGATACCAGTTCTCACCAAACTGATATATAGATTCACTATAATTCCAGCCAACATTCCACCAGGGTTTATGGGTTTATGGAAATTGAACTCAGGTAGTTCTGACTCCATGACCCACTGGAACTGGACACCACAGAAAAAAATCGGAGGGTCACAGTATCCCTGATATACCAAGTAACAGGCAGCCATACCTGAGAAAAATATTAACACCCTCAATTATAAGATCAGGACCCTGGAAAACCCAAGTGGGAGTAGAATGAGAAGATAAAATATATTCTCAGTTCAGACAGTTACTGTAGTTTCAGTAGATATGAAAGAAAGACCACAATTTACTAAATACGTTTTTATTTAAGCAAGAATGGTTGAGAGGACTGGGGTTTGTCACGCCCCACAAATAATATCACTGGAGAGATGGCTCCTTGGCTGGGGAGACGGTTCCCTCCCAATGGGATATAGAATGCAGTAATTTATCTGGCAAGGACTGGGGGAGTGGGTCAAGAAGTCCCTGGGGCCACACGCCCATGGGTACCAGCTTGCGTAGTGGTATGGCATTGCAGGAAGTTCTTGACCCGTCCCAAGATAGGAGCTGCGACTTGGCCTTGGCCTTGGGCTTTGGAGAACTCTGGGAGAGTTGAGCCCTGAAGATAATCACTGGAGGAGACAGCTGTTTCTTCCCTGCTGACAAGCTAGGGAGCACCCGAGAGGCTGGGCGGGAAACTGGAGGGGGCCGGGGGTGCAACACTGCTTTGGTCCTTAGACTACATCCACAGAGACAGGGCTCAGGGACAGGGAGCACAGAGAAGCAGAACTTATTCACCAGTGAGTGAGGGGGCAGAGCCCTTAGGCTTCTCTTTGCTTCCCATCTTGATCCTTTGGGGTGCCTGGCTTTCCTAAAAGGGGGGAAATTCAAATCAGTTGAAAGAGAAATAAAGAAAATTCAAAGACAGAGCCCTACCCCACCCCCATCCAAATACAATACTCACTCTGCCTCTTTCCGAAGGAAATTGTCTTCCTCCAGGAGTAAGGACTTAGAGATGGATTCTACAACGGGGCGTCTCTTCATTTTCTCTAAAAAGAGGAGAAATGGAGAAAATGAAAGCTGGGGCAGGAGGGAGCTGGTAACTAGAAATATTAGTGAGTCAGGGGAATTTTCAGGGAAGGGAGAAGAGGGTGAAGGATAAGGAGAAGAAGTCTGATTCTTCAGGCTGGAGGATTAGAACCTCCCACATACCCTCTCTCCCAACACACACCTCTAAGCAGGAGAGTCAGTCAGACTCACTCTTTTATACAGTCTGGGCTAGAAACTGAAATATGGGAGGAGATGAGAGCAAAGATGTAATTGGAGAGAAGGGGGAATTTTCTTTTCCACCTCTTGCAGTGTCTCTTTGAATCCATGGAAGTCAAGGGGACTGAAGGCCCTTTTCCCTACTATGATGTCACCGATGGGTTGCAGCTACTCAGTTCCAAAGGCCCCCATGTTGAGTCACTAAGCTGTGGACCCTAGGTTCTTCTTGGAGCCTAGAAGGTCCTGCCTCTTCCTCTGGTAGTACACTAATAGCATCAGTTCCAGAAACATGTCAGGTTTTTCTTCACTATCATTACCATGTGCCCAGCACTGTGGCACCTGACATGGAGAATATGGCACTCTTCCGATCTCATGGAGCTTGCAGTCTAGTTGGGGAGAAGCACACACAAGACACTGTGTGAATATCACTGGTGTGTACCCCTCCATATGCTGGATTGAGTGTGGGGTTTTTTTTTTAAGATTTTCTTTATTTGACTGAGAGTACAAGCAGGGGGAGTGACAAGCAGAGGAAGAAGGAGAAGTAGACTCACCGCTGAGCAGGGAGCCCGACGAGGGAATCTATCATGACCTTCCCGAACCAAAGGCAGATGCTTAGCTGACTGAGCCACCCAGGTGCCCTGTGTTGACACCAGGAGCTAATAAGGTTGATCTCCACAGGCTGGGATGTCTGGAAAGCTTTCTTCTGGGGGAGGAAGGATGGAGTTGGGTTTAAGAATGGATGAGGTCTGGGTGGAGAAACCAGGAAAGAGTAGCTAGAACAAAAGCAGAGCAGGATCAGGAGCCAAGACTCCAATTTGGCCAGGGGAAGGGGAAACCTTTGGGGGAACCAGGCAAAAAGAGGGCTGGAAAAGCAGTATGGAACCCTAGTGGGAGGATCTCAGTTTCCAAGGTAAGGATTTAGGGTTTACTGAGGGTAATGGGAAGTCCTGGAGATGGACTAGAGAATTCTACCAGCCAGCGTCCCCACAGGAAACAGATGGCACAGTCTAGTTTGAAGAATGGAAAGAAAGTGTGATGGCGTATTAAGTTTCCTAGGGCTTCTGTAACAAATAACCACAAAATGGGTGGCTAAAACAGCAGACATTTACTTCTTTCCCAGTTCTGGAAGCCAGAAGTCTGAAATCAAGGTATCGACAAGGTTAGTTCCTTCTGGAGGCTCTGAAAGAAAACTGTCCCATGCCTCCCTCCTAGCTTCTGGTGATTGCTTGCAATCCTTGGTATTCCCCTGGCATGTAGCTGAATCATTCCAGTCTCCACCTGCATCACCATGTGGCCTTCTTCCTTGTGTGTCCTCACATGGCCTTTTTATAAGGACACCAGCCAGTGGAGTTAGGGCCACCCCAAATTAGTATGACCTCATCTTGACTAATTACATCTGCAAAAACTCTCCTTTCAAGCAAGGTCATGTTCTGAAATTCTGGGTGAACAAGAATTTGTGGGGAAGACACAGCACAAAGGGACTAATATTTACAAAGGTATATATGGACAGATGGGGGAAACCCCAAGGGATAGTGCAGTGTCTGGGGCTATACAAGCAGAGAGATGTAACCACTACTAAAAGGCAAGGGAAAGGAACAATTAGAAGAACCAGGAGAAGGGTGAGATAGAAAAGGACACCTTGAGAGGAGCTATGACCTTTGGTGAAACCCAAAGCAACCCTGTGGGGAGGGAGCCAGGGCAATAGGTAATCTTCCCTCACTCTGTTCCCTCCCTTGGACCTCTAGTCAGGCTTCCATTCCAACATGAATCCAGAGGGCATGAAAGCCATGATGTAGCCAGTATAGATCATCCACCCAAGGTGGACAAAAAGGGATTCTGGAGAGGCAAGTGGAAGATAGCCAGTATGTGACATAATGCCAGCAAGGGGTTGACAGTCAGCAAGACACAATGAGAAGAGTCAGATGAAGACCCAGGAAACAGTAAGGCTCTGGACAGGGACTGTGGGGTGACAGTGTCTCTTCAGCCCTCACATCCAGTCTTCTTTAGACATAAGTTGAGCTTGAGGTACCCATTTGTGTCAGGACAGGGAGTCTCAGGGGTAAGGGCCCCAGTCCCTGGGAAAGGAAACATGATGGGATGACTGAAAATATCTGAGTCCACATGCTGGCTTGGAACCAAATTTAATCATAGTCACATTTGTTGGCAGACTCACTGTTTTGAAACTCACTGTTTCATACTCACTGTTTTTGAAACACCTTAAGGTGGGGACTTCTGCTCAACTTTGCCCTCAGCCTCATCCATTTCCCATTGTCCCACTCAGGACACACTTAACTCATGTCCATTATCTGACCAGCCCCCTGGAAGCATTTGAGTGTTCAACCTCAACGTGAAGGCATAGAGTGCAGAGAGGAAACAGACTAGTCTTTAAGATGAAGTTCCCCATCACTGAGCATCCCTTCACCTCACCAGGCAGAATTCTTTAGGAGATGCAGGAGGGGGATGGGCCCCTGAACATCAGGAAAGATCAGACAAATATATGGGCCAGGTGAAAGGCTGGTGAAAAGCCTTCTTTAAACGGAAATATTTTCTGGGAAGCCCTCAACTTTGGTTTCTGACACTTCTTTTCTGTCAAGGGACTACACAAATTCTCTAATACCTCTGAGCCTCAATTTTCCTTTCTGTAAATAATGATGGCCCATCTCATAGGGTTGCTGTAAGGATGAGATGAGATCATTCTCATTGCCCAATGTCATCAAGGGCAATGGAAGTTATTGTCTACTTGCCATCTGCACTTCCTCATCTCCCATTCTCTCATTTTAAATCAATCATTCCACCAAAACGAGGTCAGTCAAGGTCACCAGTGATCTCCACATGGACAAGTCCAATGACCAGTTCTCAGTCCTCATTGTTGCCACCTTATCTGGAACACCTCAGGCTTTCTATCTTCTTGAAATATTCCCTTCTCATTGGCTCTGGGACATCTCACTCTCCTGGTCTTCCTCCTACCTCCTTGTCCATGCCTTTTCAGTCTCTCTTGCAGGATCATCTTCCTCTTCCTGACCTCTTTCAGAGTCAGTTTCCCAAGGCTCCTTCTTTGGGACACCCCTGGCCACTATCTACACTCACACCCTTGATGACTGTAGTAATTTACTGGAATGGCTATGACAAAGGACCACAAATTGGGTGGCTTCAAACAACAGAAATGTATTTTCTATCAGTTCAGAGATTGGAAGCCTGAAATCAATGCACATGCTCACTCCAAAGCCTTGAAGAAAGAATCGTTTCTTGCTTCTCCTAGCCTCTGGTGATTGCCCGCAATCCTAGGTTTGCACAGCGTAACTCCTCTCTCTGCCTCCATGTTCACGTGGTCATATTCCTCTTTGGGTTCTGTACCCAAATCTTCCTCTTCTTAAAAGGATACCAGTCCTTGGATTAGGGCCCAACCCAATACAAAATGATCTCATCTTGAATTGATTAAACCTGCAAAGACCCTATTTCCAAATAAGATCACAACCACAGCTCATAATGGACATAAATTTTAAAGAGATATTATTCAACCCAGTACAATAGTCTCATGTGGTCTCATGATTTTGAATATGATCTACACATTATTGACTCCCTAGTGCATATCTCCAGCCCACATTTGGTTTCTATTTTCCTGCTTCATATTTCCTGCCATCTCCATACCTCTACTCTCATGCCTAACCATCACTTCAGACCTACTGTGTTCTGAATGAAACCTTGCTCCACACCCTTGGTCTTCCTCTTTCTCTGTATATGGCATAATTTGGCAACCAGTTACTCAAGCCAAAAACTCTGGAAGTATCTTTGGTTCTTTTATTTCTCTATACCTTAAATGCGATTCATCAGCAAATTATGTTGGCTCTAATTTCAAACTGTATCCAAAGTTCAATCACTTCTCACGACCTGCACCCCTACCATCCTAGTCCAAGCTATGATCCATTGTCACCAACCACAGAAGCCTCTGACCTCATCTTCTACCTCTTTCCTCATTGCACTGTCTACCACCAACTGACAATCTGAATTTATACTCACAAGGATCTGGACTGCTTCTGCTGCCATGTTGAAGGAACTCACGAAGAGTCATGTCACTCAGCCCTAACCTTAGTAGAATTCTAAACAAAATTTTAACCTCTCTCAGGGGTCATTTCTGCTTTTGATGCCACTTGTGGTTTTGGAATTGCTTTATTCATTCATTATCAATTTGCATTTATTGAGTACATCCTATGTGCCAGATACTCCCTAGGCTCAAGGAAAATAAAGATAAATAAGAAATAGTCTCTATTCTACATGTGTTCTTAATCTAGTAGAAAAAGGGACATATGATCTACCCATAGGGGACTACCTTCTTGAGCCCTAGAGAAAGAGACACCTAAACCAGCTCCTTAGGATATCAGAGAAGATGGCTCCAGCCCCACACAGGAAGGTACCACCAGGTTTCCTCTTCTTTACTCTTGCCATCCCATAGGCAACCAGAGCTTCTTTCAATCCAAACAGACCTCTGTTGAGATTATGTTGCTTTCCATATCCTACCCAGTGGTGAAGATTACCTCATATTTCTTGAAACGTGTCCATTCAAAAAATATTTTTTATTTTATTTTTATTTATTTATTTATTTATTTTTATATATTTTATTTTTATTTATTTATTATTATATTTATTCAGCAAATAGTGAGGCAAAACTCCTGCCTTTATAAAACTTGGGTTCTATTGGGAAAGATAATTAATAAATAAGCAAATATAATTTTAGTGTGGCCAATGATATGAAAAAAAATAAAGCCAGGTAAGGGAATAGAGAAAGACGAGAGGTACTGTTTGATTTTTTTTAAGGTCTTATTTATTTATTTATTTGAGAGAAGAGAGAGCGTGTGTGTGAGCATGAGTGGGGAGAGGGCAAAAGGAGAAGGGGAGGGACGGAGAAGCAGACTCCCTGCTGAGCAGGGAGCCTGCCCACTTGAGGCTCAATCCCATGATGCTGAGATCATGACCCGCACCAAAGGCAGATAGTTGACTAAGCCACCCAGATGCCCCAAGAGACACTGTTTTAGATGGAGCTGTCTAAGAAGCCCCTCTGAGAAGGTGACATTTCAGTAGACATCT